GGAAGCCAGACTACTTAAACCCAACAAGGTACATATGCCAGATTTAACGTTTCAAATACATGATATACAACTGTTAGCAATAATTACCTGTGCTCGATTTGAAGATAAAACTTGCTCATAGTCCTTAATTTCTTTTTGAAGCCACTGGTCACGAGCAGCTTTACTAGCAAACTGGGTTGCACGACCTTGTTTCTGATACAGCATGCTAAGTTGCTTTTCACGCTTCATAATCCTATGTACCACGGCATGTACATTCATCAGAGTATTTACTATATTCATGCAGTACATATTACAGTCCCATGAAATATCATGAGATATGGTAAAGCCATTTCTCTACATCAGATCAATTAAAATAATATCTTCAGAAATCAAAATATCAATAGGTATCAAGTGTTTGAAAAGTGGCACATGTAACATTTATTTCTCATAAAACATAAAGAAAGCACTTAAAGGATGCATAAACATGTAGAAGGCCTTCCTTTATTGTGCAGCAAATGGAGTTTATAGAGAGATTATAACATCTTCAATGCCGATCCCCCCCCCCCTCTCTCTCTCTCTCTCTCTCTCTCTCTCAAAGGAGTAACATCTATTAAACATTTGTGATATTTATTGATGTAGCAAAGAATAAATTTATGTAGCTGATCCAAAAATTATTAAGAATAAGGCCTAATTGGTTATTGTGTACAGATAAAAGTTCAGCAATTATGAGTATACATGTGATTAGACATGCATCAAGTAGATAAACAACAAATATAGTGTGCATGGTCACACCATAAAAGATACAAGTTAAGGAGCATGAAGCATGCTCCTACAACACAACAAGACAATAACATGCAGTTTAATTAGTTGGGCATAAATAACTTGCAAAAATTAGAAGAATTCAAATATGTTTTGTGGGATTACCATATATTCGTAATAGGGTTATAGGAGTGACCCAGTGGGATGGCAAAATCAGCAAATTCAGTTGCAACAAAGAAGGCACTTAAATGTCATATTTTAGAATTGGAAGTGCAAATTACATTCTGCTACCATAAATATCAAATTGAGACGATCACTTGTCACAAAATTCTTGAGCGTAAATACTAATAAGCACGACATACTCTCGTGTCAAATCTTCCTCCTTTTTGACCTGATCCCCATGCAAATACATGATTCTATTGAGCTCGCCAGTAGATTCCTGAATTTCTTTCTCCAAAAGCTCAAGCTGTCTCACTGCATCTTCCTGGAATGAAGTACATTATCAACAAAACATTTCACCTTGCTACTATATTTCCTTTTGAACACACGCTCCCAGGAGTGGAGTGGTAAATGATAATTAAGAGGTTGAATGTGGACACCTTCGCTTTGGTGTTGCCAGTGATCTTCTCTTTCAGGTCTTTGTCATCAAGCTCAAGCTTTGCACGCTTCTTAATAGCTTCTGTCCGTTGTTTCTCAATTGCTTCTTTCTCTTTGCTTAAAATTTGAACTTCTTTACCCAGATCTTTAAGTGACTTATCCAATTCCTTGGACTTTTCATGGGCATCCATCACACTATTGTGCATCTTCATAGATGTTTCAGACACCTTGGTACGAGCCTCTTCTATCTGCAATAATTTGAAATTTTACTGCAATGATATGATACATGACATGGCCATTGAAAGCCCCGATATAATTTGCAACTTCTGCACATCTACTGAAAGGGTACTTACACTAATAACAAAAGCATGCACCTATAAGCACAACAAAGTACTTTCCTGAAAGCCATATGGCGAACAAAGCCAGATCTTTGGTCACAAGTACATTTTCTATTCACGATGTCTCAAAAAATGAGATTTAGAGCATGTTTGAGCCCATTTTTTGGCTAAGAATGCATTTTGGTATAGTAAATTGATGGAGAATGTGTAGTTAAAAAATAAGGAGAAGTTTTGAGTTTGTTTGTAATATTATTGTATTGAAGAATGTGTGATTGAAAAGAAGAAAGAGGAAAATGTATTTTGAAAATAATGTGGATCAAACAAGGGCTTAATATTAACCGCAATAATAATTATCTTCATGTAACAATATTTTTGTTCATGTAACAATATTTCCATGATAAAGTTTTCTGGAAACTACTGAATTATTATGCGCTAGTTATTGATCAGATTCAAAATATTTTCATGGAATGGACCCTGAATTTATGCTAAACTTATTATTTTGTCGATTTTTTTGTTGTTTCGAAATATTTTTGGTGCTATGGACCTTGAACAAGCATTCGTGTTATGTGTTGGGCCAAAACAAATCAAAGTTGGTCCAATTTAATTACAATCACGTACAGCTTCACACAGTAACATTCAAGTCAGCGATGTTAAGTAAGCAAAGACTATTGCAAATGGATAGAGAGAAGATAGCAGACTTCTGTGTAAGCACTGATCTTGCAGCAAAAATTAGGAGCATGGCTTGCAAAGTCTATTTCCCAAGTGACCTAGTTCTTTGAAGCCCACCAGGAAAACAGTAAAACACAACACAAAAAGCATCCCAATCGATTATTTAAAATTCAAGGGACAGCATTTTTGTTGAAATCACACAGGATTGTTTATATATCTACTTTACAGTGGTTTGACAAACCTCGGACAATCTCTGCTTTGCATCATGAAGTTCCTTGTCATAGATCGTGTATTCAAGAGATTTTCGCTGCTTATCAAGCTGCTGATATTTTCTCAATTCCTCTTTCTCTTCATCCAGCTCTCGAAGTCTCTCATCTAAGTATTCAACAACTTGACTAATTTGCTTTTTCTTGTTACCTGTTTAGCAGATAACTGTTAAGAGTACATATAATTACCTGTAAGAAGTAACAACAAATCAAGCAGCATTTACCACTTTCTTGCATGATTTTCAAACTTTCACGTCGTCTCTCCTCATAAACTCGTGTCCCACCAATTTCCTTCAGCAGATCAAGTCGCTCAGAGTCCTTCATCAGTGTTAATGATGCTATCTGTGAAACAAATCAGAAGGATAAGCACAAATTTAGCCAAGCAAAGATTAAATTATAAAGCAAAATCACCATACTTTCCCCTGCTGCACAACATAATAAGGATTAGAACGAGAAAATCCAGCACTTTCCAGCAGGTTCATAACTTCTGTCTTCCTGAAAATATGCAACTATCGCGTGTCAAGCAATCATCAAAGGAGGCCAGCAGCAAGGAATGAAAAGAAAAAGAATAACAAATTCTTAATCTAAAGAAAATGACAGAAACACACGTAATATGCTTTCCATCCAAAAAATATTCATCTTTCTTCACACCAATAGTTCTCCTAAGACGCACTTCATCCTTATCAACCTGTAAACAGAATGAAAGAATTTCAAAGAACCCAAGAAAAAAGTACAAAAGATTCGAGGACATGTAAACACGTTATGCATCAAACATACAGGATAGTTTGAGATAATGAAAATATAACTGAAATACTATGATAAACTACGCACGTTTGCATACAAATTCGAATTTTATTACAAGATTTATATTAAGTCAATAACTAAGCAAATTCCATCACATACAGAACACATGATATTATCATACTGTTGACCCATGGCATGATTCACATATAAATAGACACCAGGTAACTAAAACTTAGAAAAGAGAAATCATTGTAAACCCCCACAGCTCATCAAGATCAACTTCAATGCTACCTTATTCTTTAAATAGTCTACGAGGTAAAGTAAATCATTCTAATGTGCATTAATATAGAAACATAAAAACATTAAACATCATATTGAATTTGTGTGCACGGAGTCACGGACACTTCAACTAGAATAGCGTATCCGTATACACGTCCAACACATATCGGTGCTTCTCAGATACTCTACCATGATCATTTTTCTTTATAGAAAGATTATATATATATTTTTTAACACAATTTTTTTATCAAATAACAAGTATAAAATTAAATTTATACTATACAAATGAAGAATTTTAAAAACTTAAAGTGCATGTAGGCGAAGTGTCGCATAAGTATTTTTTTAAAAATCACTCCGACACAACACCGTGTCGATGCATCATAGTACTTAATCCTCAGCAGGCCACGGATATTGCTAATTAGCCTAAGGACAGAGCTGGAGCTGGTTCCTATTATGGTATAAAGAAGTAAGGAAGTGCAAAAAGAATAATTCATGATCAATGGAAAAATGAGATAATCAACTAAGTCTTAATCCCAATAAATTTGGGATCGGCTATAAATTAATAATTCAAGCTTAATTGTGTGAGAGAATTTATCACAGCAGAGTTTCAAGCATTTGGATGACTATTATAATAATAAATGCATGAGAATACAAAATAATGAGTGCAGGGCAATTTTTAACAAATATGCATGACACATATATAAACTTATAAGCAAAGTTTACAGGAATGCGGTTGTCGGAGTTATCGAATACAATCTCCACAAAAGCAGATAACACTTGGTGGCCTGCACCTTCCTGCCAAGGGTGAAAAGTAATGTTCAGTTAAATCATCATAACTAGTTTAGCAAAACTGGCAAAAGAACTGGTTGAAAACCATTGCACTGCAAAACATACATGAAGCAATGCTTGCCTTTCTTCGCTGCGTAGATTATGGAATAGGTCGCTTATCACAAAACGTATTGCTGTAATTGTTAAGCATTTTATTTAATTCAGAAAAAAATACCTAGTAAGAGAAAGCCAAGTTATGGTCATTAATGCAGACATGATGTAAAGTTTTAATTAAGCCTACCATGGAAAAAATTAGACTTGCCAGACCCATTAGCACCAACTGCAGGAGAACGGATAAAACTTATTAACTGAATAAATTGAATACAAATGACTTCCTGAAGATTAATGCTCTTAAATCAAAATATTTTACGAAGAAATTAACATAAAAACGTAAAGAAATTTGAAAAAGGAATAATATCATTTACCAACACAGTTGACTTTGGAACTAAAAGGTTGAGTTACAATTTGCTCCCTGTAACTCTTAAATCCTTCTATTATAACCTACAATAGATATTCCACCACAAAAATATATATACATATAATTGGAAAATAAAATAAAAAAATAAATCATCAACAAAAGGAAAAACGAGACAGGTACTTAATTACCTGCTTGATGTACATGATGAGGATCGAGGATGTTTATAACACTCCTGCAGTGAAAATAATAATAATAATAATAATAGTCAAGGCCGAAACAAGAATGGTTTAAAAATTTATATATTCAAAAATTAATACTCTTAATCAGAATACAGCAAAACTCTAACAAGCAGGAAATATTAAAAACCCATGTTCAGAACAAACTAAAAACTACTGCAACTCGAAAAAAATTAGAAAATGATTAGAACTTAAGTAAACCCAGTTCAAAAAATATACTGAAGTATATTACAAAATTGAAGCCTAGGGTTCTAAATAGACTGGTCGACTAAAACAACTGGGGCGAGATTTCAAACAAATAATGGATTTGGGGCTTCAAATATTAGAGACTCACCGACATGTAAACACGTTATGCATCAAACATACAGGATAGTTTGAGATAATGAAAATATAACTGAAATACTATGATAAACTACGCACGTTTGCATACAAATTCGAATTTTATTACAAGATTTATATTAAGTCAATAACTAAGCAAATTCCATCACATACAGAACACATGATATTATCATACTGTTGACCCATGGCATGATTCACATATAAATAGACACCAGGTAACTAAAACTTAGAAAAGAGAAATCATTGTAAACCCCCACAGCTCATCAAGATCAACTTCAATGCTACCTTATTCTTTAAATAGTCTACGAGGTAAAGTAAATCATTCTAATGTGCATTAATATAGAAACATAAAAACATTAAACATCATATTGAATTTGTGTGCACGGAGTCACGGACACTTCAACTAGAATAGCGTATCCGTATACACGTCCAACACATATCGGTGCTTCTCAGATACTCTACCATGATCATTTTTCTTTATAGAAAGATTATATATATATTTTTTAACACAATTTTTTTATCAAATAACAAGTATAAAATTAAATTTATACTATACAAATGAAGAATTTTAAAAACTTAAAGTGCATGTAGGCGAAGTGTCGCATAAGTATTTTTTTAAAAATCACTCCGACACAACACCGTGTCGATGCATCATAGTACTTAATCCTCAGCAGGCCACGGATATTGCTAATTAGCCTAAGGACAGAGCTGGAGCTGGTTCCTATTATGGTATAAAGAAGTAAGGAAGTGCAAAAAGAATAATTCATGATCAATGGAAAAATGAGATAATCAACTAAGTCTTAATCCCAATAAATTTGGGATCGGCTATAAATTAATAATTCAAGCTTAATTGTGTGAGAGAATTTATCACAGCAGAGTTTCAAGCATTTGGATGACTATTATAATAATAAATGCATGAGAATACAAAATAATGAGTGCAGGGCAATTTTTAACAAATATGCATGACACATATATAAACTTATAAGCAAAGTTTACAGGAATGCGGTTGTCGGAGTTATCGAATACAATCTCCACAAAAGCAGATAACACTTGGTGGCCTGCACCTTCCTGCCAAGGGTGAAAAGTAATGTTCAGTTAAATCATCATAACTAGTTTAGCAAAACTGGCAAAAGAACTGGTTGAAAACCATTGCACTGCAAAACATACATGAAGCAATGCTTGCCTTTCTTCGCTGCGTAGATTATGGAATAGGTCGCTTATCACAAAACGTATTGCTGTAATTGTTAAGCATTTTATTTAATTCAGAAAAAAATACCTAGTAAGAGAAAGCCAAGTTATGGTCATTAATGCAGACATGATGTAAAGTTTTAATTAAGCCTACCATGGAAAAAATTAGACTTGCCAGACCCATTAGCACCAACTGCAGGAGAACGGATAAAACTTATTAACTGAATAAATTGAATACAAATGACTTCCTGAAGATTAATGCTCTTAAATCAAAATATTTTACGAAGAAATTAACATAAAAACGTAAAGAAATTTGAAAAAGGAATAATATCATTTACCAACACAGTTGACTTTGGAACTAAAAGGTTGAGTTACAATTTGCTCCCTGTAACTCTTAAATCCTTCTATTATAACCTACAATAGATATTCCACCACAAAAATATATATACATATAATTGGAAAATAAAAATAAAAAATAAATCATCAACAAAAGGAAAAACGAGACAGGTACTTAATTACCTGCTTGATGTACATGATGAGGATCGAGGATGTTTATAACACTCCTGCAGTGAAAATAATAATAATAATAATAATAGTCAAGGCCGAAACAAGAATGGTTTAAAAATTTATATATTCAAAAATTAATACTCTTAATCAGAATACAGCAAAACTCTAACAAGCAGGAAATATTAAAAACCCATGTTCAGAACAAACTAAAAACTACTGCAACTCGAAAAAAATTAGAAAATGATTAGAACTTAAGTAAACCCAGTTCAAAAAATATACTGAAGTATATTACAAAATTGAAGCCTAGGGTTCTAAATAGACTGGTCGACTAAAACAACTGGGGCGAGATTTCAAACAAATAATGGATTTGGGGCTTCAAATATTAGAGACTCACCAGTTGAAATAGTTTATACGAATTGACTCGTACTTCCTTTTAGAGAGGGAGAGCGAAGGTGTAGAAGTAAAATGGAGGGAATTGTTTTGACGATTTTCAGAACGCGAATATCTGAGTGAAGCGCTATATACTCTCTGTCGTGTTCTGTCTTAATTTTACCCGCTTGGTATATTTTGTTGAGGAATGCTATTCGTAGTCGTTATCTGTGGTAATTGTCCTACGTGATATATACACGGTAGGTGATTATTTGATATATTAATGTAGTAATTTTTTTATTCATTAATGTATCAAATAATCACCTGCCATGTGTATATCACGTAGGACAACTGCTGTAGTGAGCGATTGCAAATATTATTATTCTATTTTTTATTTTCCTCTTCCTTTTTTTCTTTTTTATTTTAATTATTCAAAATTATATATTTTGACACGCTCGTCCACTTTGTAATAAGTTGGAGCCGAAAATCAAAATATTCTGCAAGATGAATCTCGGACTTAACGGAATATTTATGTAAGACTTCGTAATAATCTTCCAATTAAGGGGAGTTGATTTTTTATATATTTAGAAAATTGACTATAATTAAAACCACGCTCATCAACGACAAATAGGAGAAGCAATGCCTAATCAATAAAATCGTGCATGACTTACATCACAGATCGATTCTTTTTTTCATCCTTGCATCAAGCGATACAGTTAAGGGAAGCTCATAAAATCACTCTCGAGTTATTTAATGGTCTAACTCCAATTCAAATGATATATTCTCATGCTTTCAACTTATCACGGATCGACGGAAAAGTTTTTTTATTTCCACGAGGTGAAGTTCTTTTCCCAAGGCTCGAAGAAAGACCTACCCATATATTTTAGTGAATGGGGCCAAATCTTTCTGTTACAATGATTGAGGGTAGCATTGGCGAGTGAGCCAAATATGGACTCGATTCATCATTTATTGTCAGAGTTGAGAAGCATTCAATATGCAATATTATGCTTGAACAATACAATAAAGAAAAATTTATAAAACGCGTCCATGCTTTCTATTCATAAAGCAGAAACTATTCAAATTTGGTAAAATGTGTCTACTAAACTTGTATAAATACACTTTTGCCAGATCAATGAAAATTATCAATCAGCAATCTCCAAGGTTTTGAAATATTTTCCTTCTATGACGTAAGTACCATTGTTATCTTGGATTTCCCCAAGACGATCCTGCAAAAATTTTGATTTAGCAAGCTCGGAATAAATTAAATCAAATCCTTGAAACAAACTCATTTTAAAAACTCATGGTAAACATTGAGTCGATCATCTTTTTTCTATATATTCATTTTCAACAATACATTCACACAATAAAATATTCAACACGTAAATCAAATTTTTTTCTAGTTTTTAACCACACATTCTCTAAAAAAATCATTATTTAACCCATTGTTTTTCCCCAAAAAAAAAGGGCTGTCAAACAGTGGCACGGTGGTATTTGATATCTTTAGTAACTATGAACGCTCTCAATCAATGGTGTGTTTTATGAATACTCTACGACAAAATCGAAAAATATAGGATTTGTGAAATATGGTGAAGCTGGCTATATTAATACTGTTTCTTTCAAGTGCACTACATTTTAATCGTATTAGATATTTCAATTTTAACCCCTATTTGCCGAGAATTAAAATCAAATTTTTAGTAAATTTTAATAAAAGTGGTTGAAAATTTGTAAATTCAATAGCATGTGTGTTTAAAATTAGTGGTTAACTTTGAGAAATTCTTATTTTTAAAAAATATATATTCTCAGATTATAATAAATTTGATAAACACGTATTTAAAGACTTTCAATTAAGCAATTAATTTACATAAATTAATAATAATTTCAAGCCTTTAATTATTACATGATCAATGTTTTTAATCTGAAATTAAGGGCATTTCGGGCAAGAAATTTTTTTATTTTTTTAAGAACAGAAGTGTCCAGAATATGTCTCAAATGTGCACACTTTGATATAGTGGACTGCTACTGCTACTGCCACTGCTGCTTCACAGTGAAATATAATACAATACAATAAATTGGCGAAAAAAAATGAGGGGAGAACACAAGGCCAGTGTTAAGTTAGGTTTCGTGCTATGTTGAGATATTTCCTTGCTATAATTTAAGCACAGACCAAGTTGACTCGAGACTTTCTATTGAGCCACCTAATGAATCCATAAGATATGATCTACCAGAAGGCAAAGAATGTCTTCTCTGAGCAGATGTCCGGATGCAGCAAATGCCCAAACAACCAGCATTCTTGATATATTATACTCCACTATCACCAACCATAATCTCTTCTAGTCCCATCATAGATGCTGTTGCCAAATCGCGAGGCAGAAAACCTCTGCCGATAAAACTTGGCTGACCCATTTGAAGCCGAATTTCTAAAATGATGTTTATGGGGATTTTTTGAAGAATGAGAATTTGAAGCACTCTCACCAATTGAATTAAAAATCTTGGCTCTTTTGTGACTCGGTGTTGCAGGAGATCTCCAAGTATTTTCATTGTATCTATTGCTACTATAATCTCCGGGGTCTTCAGTGATCCAACCACCTCTGTGTTTTGCATTTGAAGTCGACGCATATCCTCCTTCATATTGGGTTTTTCTTTTATAACTACTGCCAAGATCATGAGGAGCAGACTTAACTTCCTTAAGATCTCTATTCTTCTTAGTAGATTTCTGCTTGGGGGTTGAAAATTCACTATTTCTCTTGACAGTCTATGAGAAAACAAATAAAGACAAGGTTCCCCGTCAGAGATAAGACAACAGATGGAATTCAGAGTTTGTGAAAAGACACGAGGAAAGAATAATTAAAGGCCAAAAATGGAACCAAACATACTTTTGAGGTGATACATTCACGAGCAAAATGTCCAACTTCCCCACACCTGTAGCATGAATTATCCCATCCAGTGACAGTTGTATCCCCTCGGGACCCTGTACAAGCCTGCATAAATAAGAAAAAGAAACCAACTGATCAGGCAATAGAGAATGCCAGGAACCTCGTAAATCAAACAGCAAGCGAAATGAAATTGAAGCTGCTTATATTGCCAAAGATTTTACTTTAGGTCAGTCCCTTGGTATACTTGAAGTAGTCCTCCTAATTGTTGAGATTGCAACATGAGATATGTAGGACACTGCCCACTCATGTTAAAACAACATCCCGTGTAAATAAGTGGCATGTGTTCAACATGCCCACTGTAATGATATGCACATCAGAAAGAGTGCAGCAAGGAATGCAGCTAAACAAGACTATTAGATGCATTTTGTAGCCAATTCTCAAACCCATCTCCCCAGCTGCCAGCTACAATTCTCCCCTCAAAAGATCTAAGAGTGTGTTTGATTGACATGGAAAATATCACCTAGAAAAGAAAATATTTTCCATCTTTTGTGGAAAATAAAAACCACCTCTACCCAAGGAAAATGTTTTCCTTAAAAACAAGGAAAATTAGGCATATTTTCAAAAGTTGGAAAATGTTTTCCATGGAAAAAAATAGCAATCAAACACTCCAAGTAGGAATTTGGATGGAAAACTGATATTTTCCATGGAAAATAAATGTAATCAAACACACCCTAAATTGATAAAGAACTGGCACAGCTGGCTTGAGTTCATGAATTGTCCTTAAGAATATAAAGAGTAAGTTTTTCTTCAGATCCTACTCTAAACTGATATACAGAAAGTGGTAAGAGTTCGTGACTTGATATTTTAGTGACTTGGCTGCTCGCAAAGCATATCAAACAAGAACATAAAAATTAACTAAGCTTCAGCCTAAAACTGATGCTATAGAAGACATTACAGCAAATAAATTAACTATTGAATACTTACATTAAGTGCTTGTTTGGTAGAAATTATAATGGGATTATAACGAAAAGGAATATTGGGTCCCAAAAAATGTATAGATAATAAGTAGGTAATAGTTGTGAATGTGTGGTTACTTTGACTTCAAGTCATAATGAGATTATAATTTCTCTCAAACAAGTACTAAATTTGAGTTCTAAATGCTCATCTTCTAAATAAACCAGTGAACTTAAGAACTTAACCAATAAAATCAAGTAAACTCACCAAACCAGTATGGCCCAATAGACCACATCGATAACAGGAGACCTCTCTTGGTGTAAGATCAGTATAGTTTACACAACACAGATGGCCAAACTTTTGGCAAATGTAACACTGCATTTCCTGCAAAGATCAAAAGGAATGGTGAAAAAATTATTCAGCAACGCTTAAATAACTTTAAAAATATACAATTGATACAAATTCAAACAACAGAAGACTCACAAACCTTGAGGTCATCAGTAGAATAGTCATTCCTACAAGAAAACATATCATGTCCAGACTCTCCACATTTTAAACACATCTTAGAACTCGGGGACTCCACTCTGCTTTTCTCAGGGCAATCTTTTGCACGATGACCCTGTTGTTTGCAGATGAAGCAATCTTGTCCCTGTTTAATTAAAAAATAAAAATAAAAATCCCACAAGAATTGAAATCTAGAGGAAGCTCTGTACAGGACAAAAATAAAATAAAATACCAGCAAAGCAGACCAAATAAAAAGCATAAGATATTCATGCTCAGAAGTTAAATACTGTTTATGCCATTCACAAGATCATTAGTGATCACTTATAAACAGTGGATTTTATGAACTATGGCATCGATGTGCATGAATACAATAGGACTTCCACAGAAAAATACTAAAGTGCTCGGCAGGATTTTATGGACATCATTCACCAGTCTGCAGCAAGAGATTACATATCATTATTTTCACAACCTAAAATAGATTGTAATGAATTTCCCGGCTTTATCTTTGCAATACTTTCGAAAATGACATCCCGCACATTCCTCTACAGAATAACAATTGAGTAAAGTAGCCAACTTCATGTTCCTGCAAGAACCAAAACTCCTCATCGAAAACCCCAAAATACAGATCAAGAATGCTTACTCTATGAATGATTATTCCAAAAAGGTTTTAGTTTGGGATAACTCTGCCACATAGAAATCTGCTCTATACAGTTCGAAAATTTTCAGGGAAAAGAGACCACACATCTTCACCTCTTTAATAAAGTAATTTAAATATTACAGTTTTGGAAATGAATATAAAGCCATCATGTGTAGTGACTAGATTTTTCAGCCACAGTAATAATATCATCTGCGGGCAACTAGAAACCCATCTTTTGCATCCATGACATACATACCAGTTACATGCTTTCTCCCTTCCCGATGTTCAACATTTAAATGATGCCAAGTTATTTCGATTTATTCAATAAAAAGCGAAGGGGGAATGAAAAGTCAAAACCACAATCAGTCTATCACCCAGCAAGCATTCTAGCACTGAGAAGATATTACTTTGAACCAAACATCTATATGAAATTGAGAGGTCCTATTTTTCCCACAGGAACAAGCACAAGTATACATATTTAAATTTAGGTCATTCTAGCTAAAGTAAATCATAGTGTGTGGAATTTAATATAAGTTGCAACAAGAACCATAACGAGACAGGAAGCAAGTCTGTAAGCTGGCAACTAATAAATTATCTGGTCACACACCTTGGAACATTGCTTGGCATTATGTTCTAAACTCCCACAAATAAAGCAAGGCTTCTTGCGCCTTTCTGAAGTACAGTTAATAGCTGTATGACCCTCTTCACCACAATTATAGCATGTTCCCCAACTGTCCGGAGGATCAAAGTACCTAGATCCCCGCTGAGGTCACAACAACGTATAATAAACAGAGACCCCGAACTAAGCCTTTTTGAATGGAATGGTTGGATATCTTAAAAAGCGATACTTGTAAACAAATTACTTCAACTCACAAGAAGCTTCCTCAGGACAGCATTATCTGACATCTCAGCAGGATTTGCCTCAACTGCTTCATAAGCAATCCCAGTAGCTTTATCACTCCCGGACTTCTCTTCACCCTTTTCATGACCCTCCTACAAAAGTCAAAAAGAATGAAACAACCATCAGAAAAGCTAATATCTCAAGGCAACTGCTAATAAACAAAAGAAGTTTGCAAATGTAAATCACTATATACTTCAGTAGGAAAGAAAAGAAACATAATAATGAAAATATATATTAACTATGGAATATATATTATCAAAGAAAATTTGTCTCCAAGGACATTTTTCCAGTCAAGAAATTTCTCCAAGAATATGTAGATGTGAAGTTAAGTTACCATGTTCAGATTAGCATATTGCTTAAGTTAACGGTTGAACTGCGCATTCAATGATTCAATTCCACTACTCTCCCAGAATAAAAATAAATAAATAAAAATTCAGCTAACCAATGTTAGGCAAAAATAAATGCAGTAACATATAAAAGACCATGTATGATTCATGCTACCAGGAACAATTCGCCGATAAAGGTTTTGAAACCCGCATCTAATTCACTTGAATCCTGACTCAAACGATAAATAAAAAAGTATAAGGGCATAAATTATAAATTGAAGTAAATTACTTGCTAAGACTTTAACCAATTTCTATTCTCTATTAACAGAGAGCTCGCCCATTAAATTCCAAATAAAACACCTAAATTTTGTTTTTTCCCGCAAAATCAACCTAAGCTCAATACTTACGACATCTCCTGGGAGAGCTTCCGTTTCCCTGCTCTTCTTTTTCTTTTTCTTCTCGTTTTTTTCCTTTATCCTTTTCTCGTCCTTGAGATTTGTAACAATTTCAGAAACCCTATCTTTTTCAGGACCACCATTACATGCTCGCAGCATGGCTCTTTGAACGATTTTCAAACTGAGGTCTTCATTGGCTTCTTCATCATCGTCCGTACTCACTTCTGCAATTGGAGCCTTCCCCTTTCCTTTTTCTTCCTCGGGTGACGAAACTTTTTCAGCTTTTGATGCATTCACCTTCTTCTCTTTCTTGCCCATCCCAAACTTTCAATTCTTCAATAGTAAGCTGGGTAAGAAAATAGATAACTAAACCCTAATCCCAATACTGTACTGACGTTTTGGGGAGAGAGGAATACTGGAGGAGCTAGGGCTTCAATTGTGGGGTTTAATCTCCTTTCCGGTTTGGACTTTAGTCCGATTAAGTCCACATGCTCATAAATCTTATGGCCCATAATGTCAATTCAAATTTTTGAATTTTATAAACTGGAAATTACGTGGAGGTAGAGTTATTGAAATCTTGTTTGAGCCCTATTTTGAATGGAAAGAATACATTTTAAATAATAGATTGATAGAGGATATGTGGTTAAAAATTAAGCAAAAGATTTGAGTTTGTGAGTAATATTATTTTATTAAAAAATGCTTAGCTGAAAACGAGTTTGAAAAAATGAATTTTAGAAAAATGATGATAAAACAAGAGCTAAGTTTCAAATTTAAAAATCTAGTTTAGTTTGTTTATATAAAAATCAGTTGATAATCTCACATTTTAATATTAATAATAATATTATAAAATTAAATCAATCTGCATAACCATCTTACCTCCAATCCATCCAACCAAATTTATTCCCCATCCCAATTAAAGTTAATTTCAAATTTAAATTTTTTATCAAACAAAAATAAAAGATTTATCATCATTTTTAAAAAGAACACGAGTTGTTCTTAACAAAATGAAAAATTAAAGCTTCTTTAAGCACCATTTTTAGATTAAAATGCATTTTGAAATAATAAATTAATAAAAAATATATGGTTAAAAAATAAGAAAAGGTTCCGCGTTTGCATGTAATTTTATTTTATCGAAGAATTTATGGTTGAAAAGAACAGAGAGAAAAAATATATTTTGAAAATAATCAGAATAAAACAATGACTTACTAAGGCCCTGTTTGAATCACATTATTTGAAAAATATATATTTTTAACTATGCTTTGATATTATTTCAACCACACATTCTTTAATAAAATAATATTACACTCAAATCTAAAATATTTTCTTATTTTTTAACCACGCATTTTTCATCAATATAATATTCAAAAATGCATTTTCATTCCAATAATATGGCTCAAACAAGGGCTAACTAATGACATAAAAAAATAAAATACATAAAAAGAATAAATGGAGTGATAAATGAGGCAGGGAACCTGCCCCATTCCGCCCCCGATCTTGTCCTATTTTAATCGGGTATGGGGATGGGGCAAAGTGACAACAATACTCAACAGAACGAGGGTGGGAAAGGTTGAGCTATCCTGTACGTATCACATTGCCATCCCTACATCGAAGACATCGTCTGAGTAGCGCTTAGTTGCTTACAACGTTGCTTTAAGAGCCATGAGCTGTTCTAAAGTGACGTTGTGTGCACCACACGACTACCCTGATCGATCGGTGTGTGTTAATGTTTGTGTCAATCATTCGATAGAGAAGCAAATCTTTGATCGTCTTCTTGAAGTTTTATGCCATTTCAATCTCCAAATCCGAACTTCGTGTTACAAGACTCAGATGAGGTGGCGCCACGTCACACATGCGCTTCTCTGATGCCTCCACTTCCAAGACCTCGACGCAATGTAGTGGAGCCCATGATCACTAATCGCTTGTTTGAAAATTTACATTTTCGAATGTAAGGTTGTTAATGGAGAGATTCAGTTTTTGAATATCGGTGCTCTCATATTTTGGATATGATTTTACGGTGGTTGTGCAGTGATTTTGGAGTGGTATCTGCATTCGGTGGTGGTGCTAGTGAGGCTATCATTGTGGTGATTGAGGGTAGAGTGGGGTGGGTGTAGGTAAAGAGTGTTTGTGATTAATTATTTGCTTGATTGCGATCAATAAAATATGTTAATTTGTGACCAATAAAAAATATGTAAACTAAAAAGTGAAAATTCAGATAAATTTTGTAATCGTGACTCACAATTTGTTAAGTTATAATCAATTAATCTAATAATTTGTGGCCGTGAAATAAATTATGATTTATAAAATTTATAATTTGTGATCGAAAAATAATACGTAACCTATTAATTTGATAATATGTGATTGATCAATAAATTGTGATCTATAAAATTTGTAATTTGTGACTGAAAAATAATGCGTGGCCTATTAATTTAATAATCTATGATCTTTAAATATATTGTGACTTATAAATTTTGTGATTGAGAAATAATACGTGACTCATTAATTTGATAATTTGTAACCGAGAATTAATTAATAAAATATTTTTAAATTAATTATTTATTTAATGAATTTTAATTAAAACTTGATTTCTGAAATAATAAACCTAATTTCTTAATTCTGAAATTATACTTTGCAACCACCTTATGTAAGTAATGTTTCCTTTTATAAATTTTATTATTGACATAAGTAAACACAGTTCAGTTTAAAATAAATAATTTAAGCTTATAAACTAACTCGAGCACATCGGCTTAGCTTGAATGTCATAAAAGAATAAACGTTGAATTCGGCTTCTTTCTCGCTCTTTTGGTTAGGATGGTTGTCCATACTATAAGAGCTAAAAAATCTCAATTGTTATCAAAATTGAGTAGATGTGCATCTAGATCAATTATCTTCTATTTGGTACAATTGGATCATTCATTTTCAATTTGCTTATAAATTACACGTCTTTTAATTTTGTGTAATTAAATCACCGACTTCGATTTACTTGCAAATCTAGTCATTCTATAAATCCTTATCTTTTTTAATATAATTAAAGTGAAAATTACACAATACCATACTTTAAGTATTCAACATTCTAAATTCATACTGGAACTTTAATATTTCAAAAATAAGAAAAAAAATGATACTTAAACTCTTAGTTAGGAAATTTTCCCATAATTAAATCACTCAACTTCAATTTCCTCTCAAATCTAGTCATTTCATGAACCCTTTGTAGATTTAACTAATGTAATATGTTTACGTGAACATTAAACGTTACGTATGACTATCCAATATGTCCATGCCACATTAAAGAGTTGATATGGATATTAAAATTACTGCATGACTAAAATTATGCTTTTACATGTCATCTACTTATCAATTTTAAGGTCGACAAACTCATAAGTTAAATTGATAATAGTGAACAAATTGATCAAATTTTCAAGTAGATCAAAGTTGAGGGGCTTGTGAATTTACCAAGTTGAAGATAAGTGACTAAATTTACAAGTAAATTGAAGCAGAACCTAGTTTAATCAGCCGGGTTACGATGGGCACATTTGTTGGTTTTAACCCTGATATTAAACTATGTCTAATATGATATTTACATTCAATGCTTTACTACTTAGATCATTATTTAATATTTTAGTTTTCGTCATCTAAAACAATATATTAATTGGACATTAAAGAAAACAATAAAACATTGTTTGAAAAAAATAATAAAAACCAAAAATTAAAGAGTTCGTTGGAACGTATAAAAAAATTTACTCTTTAAATTTTAAGGCACCATATGTTATGACCAAAAAGGCTCTCAGATCAACATCGTGATAGTCCTACACTCTAGATAAATAGCACAATGATGAACGCTATTTCAAAAATATGAGCAAATAAGTTAGTTATTAAACCTTTAAATTAATATTGTTATTATTATGATAATATTTCCAAATTACTAGCTTGTTTGATCATTTTGAATATCTAATTTCTTATGTGTAATTAGAAAATTTGTATAATCTTGAAAAGGAACTTATTTGGAAGTAAAACATAGACGCTTCCAAGCGTGTCTCCCTCGTACCATGAGCTTTTCTTAAAGGATGGTATGATTATATATTTGTTTTTTGCGTTTTCTTATTTTTTCCCCCAAAGATTTGTTCATAATATGTTTATGGTTACTGATTTTTTGTAGCAATCGAGAGAATGAATGAGGGGTTGCAGTTTGTGGAGCCATCGATGGAGCAATTCATTTCATTGAAGAGTCATTATGAGGAAGATGTAGGGGTATGAAGGTCAAATGAGATAGTTTGTTATTTGAATTTTGATATCAATAAAATATTAGAGCTAGGTCAAATAATTATAAGATAGTTCAACTCAAAAAACAAATATACGTGATAGCTGCCTAAGGAATTTTCATATGAATGGTTGAATGAACTTGATTAATTATGTTTTGATAAGGGTTTCAACAAATATGAATTTATGGCATGTTTGATATGACTAAATCAACAATATGCATATAACGAGAGAAAACTTTATGCAAAGCTCTATTAAATATTAATGAGCAGCTTTGAGACTCCTTGTGGACATAGACATCTCAGGCAATGATGATGTTTAATGGGGATTAAAATTAGATTTTTAGTAGATTTTGAAAGAAGTTTTTGAAATGTGTGACAAAAAAGTTGTAGGACTCATGAAAAGATATGGTTAATAATGATTGTTTGACTTTGACTCAAATTAAAATCTGAGCCAAACAGGAGTAGTATTGAAAAGTTGATTTTGCTATAAAGAGCAGAGTAGAAAGTACATGAGTAAAGAATAACCCTGCCCATCTTATGAAAGACGTCATTATAGACCGTACAAGTTCGGCAGTAATCATCATCATGTCTCATAGTAGTTATGGACAAGGGAAAGAGTCACAACGATGTCCTAGCCAAAGCATACATAAGGGATTAGAATCTAGTTTTCTGAAAAACATTAGTTTTGGTGCAAGCAGAATTACACAACATAGAAAGCAACAAAACTAAAACTCAAGTGAAGAGAGCTTTAATGGAGGCCCATTTAAATTTCAATCCTCTAACTTTTTGTTTAAAAGATCCACCACTGGCTCTTTGCCTTCAATTTTGCTAGACTGCTCTTGTGCAAGAGCATAAGCTTGATTTGTTTGCTTCGATATTTCTATTCTTTTCTCCTTGAGTTGTCGACTTTTGCTTTTAAGTCCTTCTAGTTGCTTCTTAGGTTCCTTTTCTCTGTTATTCAACTCCTCGGGTTTAGTCTTTATTCACGTTTCAGTTTTGACTAAATCTTCCACCAAATTGATGGTATTCTCAAAAGTAGAACAGAGATGCTTGCCGCTGACCTTAACTTGAACCGAGTCTCTCCAGTCCTGTATAGTTGAGGGAAAATTAGCTTTCAAACTCATAATTTCTTTGGCCTGTTCGTCAGAAATCAAAGAAAGGTTGTTGCAAAGTATAGACAAGGACTCTATCATTGCAGT